TAAGGCCTCCAATACTTCGAAAATACTTTGAAAAGAACCGGTTAATCAGGCTACCCTCGGCATAAGCAATGGATCTTCGATAAATATCAGCTCTGAACAATAAAAAAGGCTTCGAAAACAATCAGCCTTTGATGAAAAGGTTTCGAAAATTCAGCCTTCGAGCGAACCTCCCTAGGTACTCAGCTATCGTCACTTATCGACTCATAATCGAGGTTCTCGTTTGAGCCGTTGAAGAGTCGGACAAACACAAAACATGCCATGGCATAATCAAAACTTCAAAAGTCTTTAGCCAAAATGAGGGAAAAATATAAGCCATATTAGAGGCCGCATCGACCCAGTCTAAAAAGAGCTTAAGGGCCAATGCGTAAGAGCCTAAGGGCCAGCCTAAAGAGCCTAAGGGCTAATGTGTAAGAGCCTAAGGGCCAGCCTAAAGAGACTAAGGGCCAATGCGTAAAAGCCTAAGGGCCAGTCTAAAGAGCCCATGGGCTGATCTAAAGAGCCCAAGGGCCGACGTGTTAAAAACTTGAGGGTCGATAGCCCCGGGTCGAAATTTGACTCGAGGATCGAACCCCAAACGGTCAGTTATTATCAATCGTTCATCGAGCATGAAAACCTGAAGGGTTTATATCATAAGTCCGCCACATCGGACTGGTTATCGACAAACGTTAAAGTCTATTCCAAAAAGGCAAAGGAAAGACAAGAAATGACGAAAAGCAAAGATCCTTATATATATAATGAAGGTCCACAAAGACATCTTTGCCAGGATTGCGCCTGGAACCTTCACACAAAAAAAGGAACAAATAAAAACCTAATCTACCGCCGGGGTCACTTGACCGGACAGAGCTCCCTCAGAAGATGTGCCTTCAACGGCTTGGTCCTCGAACCCCGGAACATCAACGGCCTCCTCCGCCTCGGGGACTTTGCCTTCATCTTCATCACCCTCCGAGCCGCTGGTCGAACTACTGGCTGAACCATCATCGGAAGAAAGCAGAGCTGCCGATTATTCCTCTAGGGCCTTCACCCTCTCGATCTCAGCAGACAAATCGATGCTCCCTGCATATACATCCTCGAGAGCCAGTCTCCGAGATCTCAATCGGGCATGCTCCAGGGCTCGGGTCAGTTCAAGCTCGGCCTCTTCAGATACCTTCCTGGCTCGAGCATTTGCAGCAGCAACATCTTCTCGGTACGAGGATATGAGCGCATCGGCTTCGGACTTGGCTGCGGATAGCGCGGCGACCGATTCAGCATAGAGATCCTTATACTTACTACTATCCTCCCTCGCATCTTGAAGATGATGCTCAACCGAGATCAACTTCCCCTGAAGGGCATCTCTCTCGGAGGCTATCTCGTCTACACGCTGCTTGAGTCCGAGAATCTCAATATCCCTGGCTTTGAGCCCCTCCCTCATCAGGACATCTTTCTTCTCAAGCTACAAAGATCAACCCAAAGGTGTTAAATGTCGTAGTCGGACAAGCACGAAAATAAAAACATACGAAGACTGTATTACCTGCTTAGCAAGATCGGTCCTCTCTCGAGACACCGTCTCCAAACAAGCCCGAAAGTCATGAAGTTCTTCCTCCCTTTTGGTTAAAAGAGCTCCGAGCTCGTTAGCCTCTGACGAGAGCCTCCTACACTCTTCCTAATAGCGGGTTGACTCAGCTTGGGACTTAGCAACGGACCGATTGTAAAGCACTACAGCCTGAAAGCATGAAAGTACAAAATTAGGAAAAATAAGGATCGAAGCTCGGAGCATAGTCGACGACAGATCACCTGTTTGCATAGCCTCTCGACTTCCTCGAGAATAGCGAGGCATTGAGTTCGGGATTTTCTTCGACCCCGGTGAAGAATCCTTCAAACACGTCATTCTCCCCGAGGGACGCCCCAACATCGGAAGTCTTTTTATTATGGGTATCCCGTATCTCCCTCGGAGAGAATGCGGACCCAACGGAGAGCCACCCACATCAATAACTCCGGCTGGATCGATCGGGGCCTTCTCTTACTTCCGGGGAGCCTCAGACTTGGGATCCCCTAACTCATCTACCGCCCCTCAGCTCGGGGAATGTTTTGCCCATCGACCGGCTTAGGGACATCGTCTGATCCACCCTCGAGAGCCTCTTCGGCCCGAGATGGGACAACATCAGCAACATCTGGTTTGAAAGCCTTCGGCTCAACAGCCATCGGCTCAGCAAGACCCGAGGCAGAGTCATCTTTCTCTCCGCCCCCAGCTTGGGGGCTCTCCGCTGCTTCCGAAGTTAGGGCCGCTGAATCAACCTTAGGCTTTTGAGATTTCGCCTTCTTCAGTTTCGAGGATTTGGTCGGCGATTTTCTCTTTCTCTTCTTCTCCTTGGCAAGTTTTGAGGTATCCGCCTCCCCGGAGGAGGTTTCCCTCATCAAAGGGGCATCTCCCAGGCCTGCACAAACACAAAAGGCAGGTACGAAAAATGAGAATACAATCAAGGGGTACCTCCTGTAACGAGCTCAAGTACGGCAAAAGAAAAACCTCACCATGATTTTTTGCTTCCCATCGGGCCTTGGCCAGAGCGCGCCACACGCGCTTAGCATACGGGCAAGTCGAATCAAGCTGACGAAGCTATCCTGAAAGATCCTTAACCGCGCCAGGGTACCACTCAACAGCTGCATCATCGAAGGAAGTTAGTTCAAGAGGGAAAATGGACCAAAGGAAAGAAAAAATATTTAACCAATATATTAACTTACGATTCATATTCCATTCCTCGGGGAATGGTATCCTTTCAACAGGAACTAGATCCGAGGTCCTAAATCGGACGAAGCGGATCATCCATCCCCTGTCCTTGCCCGTACAGGCAAAGAAAGCCTTCGGGGCCCAGCGTTGAAGCTTAATCAAATCGCCTTGATAAAGTCGGGGGCTGTACATCCTAATCGGATGGTCAAGGGTGAAAGGTACCCCCTCGACCATGTTTGCAAAGTGCCTAATCATGTAAACAATACGCCAGAATGATGGATGAATTTGGCCGAGCGTCACCTGGTATTGTCCGCAGTAATCAAGGATTACGGGGTCTATCGATGGCGAGGATGGTTCTACTGGACCTAGGGTAAAAGGATATGTGTATACACTAAGGAAACCGGGTTTGTGTGTCGTTATATCTTCCTCCCAAGAAGGAACCCCCACTTGCACCGCCTCTCCCCAGCGGCAGTCAGCTTTCACCTTCCCAGTGTCAGTTATCAGGCTAATGTATCGGGACATAGGTTCGCACCGCCCCGGTTTCGAAGAAGTCTTGTCAACCGTGAAATCGGAGGATGTCTCACAGGGTCCGAGGATGCATTCCTCAAGACGAGGAGGCACTATGGCCTTGCCCTTAGACGAGCGTGAAGACGAAGAAGCTTTATCACCTTGGGGAACGCTTCTAGAGGTCTTCGCCATTTCTACTGAAAGATTTCAGAGGAAAAAAGAAAAATTGGATGAGAAACGAGCGCAGGAAGGAAGTAAGGAGAGCTGTTGAAAGTTCGGAGATATGATGAAGAGTAAGGAGTAAAGGATTGGAGTATTTATAGGGGTCAGTAGTGCGCATTGGGGAAGGCCAAAGGACGGCCAACCGTCATAATCAGTTCGAGGCTTTTCAAGAGCCAGGCGAACGTGACTTTTGAACATCCCTTTTTTGTCACATCAACCGCTCGCGTAACGTAACTGACATAATGATGGAGGCATTGAAGAGTTGAAGAATTCAAATCGTTCCTTGTTATTTCATTCCAAGAAACGCAGGACTATCTGTATACGGTCAAAATCAGGGAAGGCCGATTTTAAGGCTTCTATGGTATTTTCGAGCCCGGCCTCGATGAGCTCGAAGCGCAGTCTAAGGCTCGAAGCACTCACCTCGAGAGGGTATATCGAGGACTCATCATAGCGTACCTCGAGGCAGCATGAAAATCGACGACCGTCATGGAAAGGTGGGAAGTCCCCGAGGGCACATGATTAAAACTGACAGAATCTGCGAGAAATAGTACAAATCATTACTGAGTCGTTTTGTAACTGTACCGGTAGCATTTCCTCGTCATTATTAGACATGCACCATGTGGGGATTCTCCCCCTATATAAAGGGGACCCTTGTCATTTTTTAAGGGGGACACAATATATGGAATATAATACAACATTCTCTGCTTAAACAGTTGTTCTTCACATATATTGCTTATTCTTTCATTGTTCATTCATTGTTCATTTGTTGTTCTTCATTTATTGGCCATTAACTGCAAAAGACTATCTTTGAGGTCTTCATTATCATTGTTTCTTCATCAATAGTTTTCGTTGCCAACTGCCCTAAATAGGCCTCGAAGCCTCTGTTCCAGTCAGCTCGAGGATCAGTTTGTGATAGCTTTGGTTTGCGTTTCTTATTCTCTTCATTTATACTTAGCATCTCAGCCCAATAACTAGTATTACAATAAATCACGTATTTTTAGAATCACAAAATCAAATATAATTGTCATTACCATTTTGAAGGTAAACAAAAATTAAGATAAAATAGTACAACAATGAAATAGTTTACACGATTAGTAGATTCATTTTACCAATGTATCATTTGGAGAACTGAAACAAAATGTTGAAAAGAAAACAAACAATGCAAAAGACTATCTGAGGAAGTCCTAGTAAACACAAAACACAAGTAAAACCTCATTTAATTATGAGCAGGTGATCCATATGTACCCTTAACTTTTACGACATCTTAATATATACTCCGTAGTTTGACTCGGCACAAAGTTTAAGAAGAAAAAAAAGAAACTTTTGAAATTTGTGGTCTTAAAAGCTTAAGGGGTAAAAAGTTTGTGGGGCCATGATATTTGTATGGCTATAAAAGCTTCTCATTAAGGGTAAATGGGTAAAATGAAAGAATTTAAAGTTGAATTATTTCCAAATTTAGAAATGTGTCATTTGTTTTGAAACAGACTAAAAAGGAAAGTAACTCATTTAATATGAAACGAAGGGAGTATATATTATATATACTTCCCCACTCTTCTCTCTAACCTATATGCTTCACTATACTCGTTAGTCTTTACCTTACCATTTTTCTTCCTTAGCCTTTCCCATTTCCCTCACCTCTCTCATCAACCATACAATATGCCAAGAAATACACTTGGAACAAACCTTAATCTTTGTTTCACTAAACTCAAACGTCCATTGCCACCACAATCCTCTAATGAACATCAACAAGATCAAAGTATGCATTTTTCCAACTCTATTAAAAACTTTAACTCCCTTTACGACTTATCATTAGACTGCAATTCCAATCCCAAATCGTCGTCCACCACTACATCCGATGAATACGATTGTATTTCCGAATTAGCCACTATTCCTGATTTAGCCACTCTTTATGCCTCCCAACGTTTCTTTTTTGCATCACCTGGCCATTCCAACTCTATCATTGACTCATCATCATCAGCATCCATGTCATCTTCTTTGGCATCAACTTCATCATCGGTAGACCCGCCGGAATCTGACACCGTTATCGACGGCAGCATTGCAGTTCCGACGTACTCGCCGGACCCTTATTTGGATTTCCGACGATCAATGCAAGAAATGGTGGAGGCGCGTGAGCTGAGTGACAATTGGGATTCGTTACATGAGCTTCTCATGTGTTATCTTACATTAAATCCGAAGAGTACACACAAGTACATAGTTGGTGCATTTGCCGACCTTATTGTCTGCCTCATGTCATCAAAAGGGATACATAGTAATTTCCATTTAGATCCATCAGCCGGCAGCACAAGTAAGCCATGTTGCATTCTTGATTACAAGAATCCTAGTGAATAATCGATCTTATATTGTACAAGGTACTTAGTAAAATTATTAGCAGTAAGCATTTTGCATATATAATTTTGGGCAGTTGATGAACATGTACATTATGGTGGAGATATTAATATGGTCCCCTCCTAAACAGCTCATGCTGTATGAATCCAAGCTTCTTTATCATCCTTTTTCAGTAACTTGTCTCTGTTGGAGTATTTGTTTTTCCAGCTTTTCCAGATCCTAATGCGGAAGTCACTTGCTACCAAAGTACTTCCTCTAATATCCCTTATTTTTTAACTATTTTTAATATAAGTTTTATAACCTTCAGTATAAAAAAAATTATATTATCAGATTACATTTACTTGGTTTAGCAAATAATCTACCTTAGTTTCAAGATTATAAACATTTTGTAAAAACTTGGTAATTTTTTACACTAACAATGCATATAAATTGAGTTCTTTTTAACTTTTGAACTAGTTTTCTGGAAATGGCAGAGGCTTAGGTTCAGTAGCCGCTAGTAGGGTGGAGCTTGCTATATGCTTTCCTTTTTACTAGGCTTCTTTATGGCAGAGGACAGAGTCCCAAAAGCTTTCTGCTTTTCTTTTTCGGGTACTGTGATTTTGCACTAGTAGCCCAACATGCAAAACCAAGAATAAACGACTAGTTAACCCTACTTTTATACTTACGCGTATAATTTACCATAATACCCATATTAATTGATGCATATTTTTAATGGATTTGAGAAAATAATTTGAAATGAATAATAAATACTACTCCCTCCGGTCCAAAATAAGTGATTTTTTGGATGTTTTCACACAGATTAAGAAATCTACCTTTTAACATTAATTGGAATTGACCATATTAACCTTTACTATCTCACATAAACACTCCTAACACATATTCCAACATTATTTATTCCAAGGACAGTGTAGGAAAAAAATAATTAATTCATTCTTGAAATCTGGAAAAATCATTTATTTTGGACCATAAGAAAAAGGCCAAAAAATCACTTATTTTGGACCGGATGAAGTATGGTATAACAGAAAAAAAGAAATTGCATTCTCTTGATATGCTAAAATGACAGGTAAAAGTGAACGGAGGGAGTATTAAATGAGTCTCAATAAGTCATACTATTAACTACAAAATGGAGTAAGTAAAATTAAATATAAGATGGGTTAGAAGGAACATCTCATATTTGTGTTAGTTGCTGCACTAATAAATGAAAGATATGTGTTCTTCCTACAGACTTATCGCTTAATCACAGTTAAAACTATGTATTTTTACCTTAATTTACAATTATAAAGGTACAATATATTAATCAACAAGGTAGAATGTATTATCGTTTTTAAGTGGAGTATTTAATGTTAGTAACTGGTTACTCCTTTAAACGGTCAATTAGTCTGTAGTGCTTCTTGAGATGTGTCATATCGTAAAGTCCTTTTACAAGGAACTTAAGATTTCGAGATTCTAATATTTCTTCCTTTTCTTTTACGTTTCTTTTGTCGTGGAGTAAAGTGTTATAAAAAGTCACATTTCTATTAAGGGATCATTTGGTTATACATGCTAGTTATGAATAATAGTAATGCATAAATTATTTATGCCCTAACTAATAATACAGAAATGGTTACTCAAGAATAATGTAAGGATTGTTAACTTGAGGACAGTTATTCTTATTCATGTAATGTTAATACATGCATTCTTATCTCATAACAAATTCTCGCACAACTTAGATTATTTGCAACGTGAAATTTAATAAGGTCAACAAATGCTATATTAATTTTTACGTGACCAACTAAATATTGTATATTATGAATTATATGTTGAAATCATTTTTGTTAATAGGGAACACAAACGGCCCCTAAGTAAGACGAAACCACATATCTTCTAGGGATAATAACCAGTACAGCACATCGATCAGGATGGCAACAAAACCTGTGGGCATACAATTTCTTTTAGAGTTCAAAATCTTTATCCGTTAAGAGTCTCAAAAAGAAAAATAATTGAAGTTTGTCTCTAAGTGAGTGATACATGTTTGCTATATACAACCGTACTATATATAAATATACAGTAATTATTCTGACACCATGTAATATTAACCAGAAGATTGCTTCATCAGTAATTTTTATATATATATATATATATATATATATATATATATATATATATATATATATATATATATATATGCCAAAACGGTGATAAACATATGGCATGCTTTGTTTCACAGAAACATCATGCAAGCAAATAGTATTATGACTACAGATGAAGCCAAACAATAAACTAGTTGCAGCTTTAAGACAAAAGCAGTAAATCTTTGTTTTGTTTTTCATTTTGATTTTTGCTGTTTGGGTGAAAACATTGAATAACACTGTTGCTCAAGATTCTGTCATAAGAATATGAGATACATCAGTAAAATGCATGTGGGATTTTAATAGTTTAATGCCAATTTTAATTTGCCAGTGAAACATGACTTGGTTTCTGAACACAAGTTGGGTTATAATTGGTTTGTTATTCAAATTATTATATTAACAACTCTTTTGAGAAGGAACTTGATGGTGGATATATTATACTGTATCCACTGCTCTGCTACTCTCATGTGTTCTATTTTCTTTCTTTTTTTTTACATTTCTTATTTTCTTCCCCCTTCGATCTGTCTCTTATTTTATTTTCTGCTTTGTATCTTTCGAAAGAGACTGCCAGGAAAATAATTTAATACTATGAACAGGAAATTGGTTACAAAAAAGGGGGGGGGGGGGGGGGGGGAAGACACAAGCATGCTAAATACTTTATTTTTTGATTCCCACTTTTTGTTCAATGATAGACCAAATAAAGTACACATCAAGGCCATAATCCTTCTGGCAAGTTCCAGCGATTCATCAAATCACCTTTTAGGATTTTATTATGAAACAAACATATAAAAGGATGATTTTGTGGAAACTCTCAGCTCATAGACCAATGTGTAAATTTAGTTTCAACTCGAGTATATATAAACATTCGCATTGTTATTGTAGAGTGATAAAATTCTTTCCGAGATTGATCATAACAGAAGAGTTCTACATCTCACAAGAATACAGAAGTATGGCAACCATGAGAACACCAGCTCCAGATATCTCGAAAATAAAATGCCAATTAAGACCAAAAAACAGCTCACTTTCGATCAAAAGCGCGTCATTTCAACTGACATCAGAACACCAAATCCTCATACGGACGATACTGGTAACAAACTAAAATTAGGCTTTGGTGCACCAAAAGTTACTAGAAGAAACAATCTACAGAATATACACTGGACGAAAGAAGATAAAAGAACACGGGTTCAGCGGGTTCTCTACGGTTGAGCTGATGAAAAACTGAGAATAGGATAAGAGTTAGATGATTAACCTTGATGCCACTAATAAGACCATAGTAATGCTGAAGGAGGTTAAACACAGAAAAATAGTATGTATCAATAAAAAAACCAAAAAAAAAAGTAGAAGATCCAGCATTAAATAATCTAACAACACAACAGCCCGCAAGAAAACAGCAGACAAAAAGTGAAGCCTATAACAGGGTAACAATGAGGACAAAACTCAAACATCAAATACATAGATGTTATTTAATATGATCATAGTTAAACTGACAAAGTTCCCTGTAACTTACTAGAGTCTAATTTTTAGAAACAAATATCACTTTCAATCTTCTTTTGCATCTTTCTCCACAAACATATTCTTTGGGTACTTCATTGAAACCAAACCTAGAATCATCTGAGAGTAGGGATGCACACTAGCCAAATAGGTGCACAAGCTACTAAATTTTGACTTGTGTTTGAGTTAAACCCAGTGATTTAGATGACCCAGCAGGATAACACCATCTAGTTAATCCTTGCATTGGCACTTGTTCCAATCCTAACCAGCTATATTGACAGTCTCAACGCCGCAAAATACATACCTCAAAACAGCTACGCCTAGTATACACATCCCAATCCAGTCTGTCGGTCAGATCATCTTAATCGATACTCATTCTTTCGCCGCCATGTAGGAAATATCTACAACTTTCAACCAAAAAGCAGCTACTCAAAAAATATAGCACCGAATATGTTTACGTCCGTAATTACGTGGAGGAATATACACTTGGCTGTGTCAGTTGCTCAATTAAAGATCAAAATTAGCATGTTACATCTTCAAAAATCTACACAACATACCTGCAATAGAAATAGAAATTCAGAGCTCAAGTTAAAACTTCAGGAATCAACAATCTGTTGGAACAACAGACTAGGCAACCTGAAACAGGATAACCATAACACTTAAAAGACTAAAAGAGCAAATACCACAATGACATGCCACGTTCAGAAAAGCACATATTGACAATAGCCTAAATGCTAGCAGTAATCTTGACGACAAGTAAAATACGTCTCTCAAAATCAACTTTGGTTTCGTTTGGTCACATCGTAAAAGATTATGTTTTTTATCAAACTAACTTTTCAACATTGACATAGTATTTTCTTTCATTACACTAATATAATAGATAAGAAATGAATATCATAAACTAAGTATCTAATCAAACACCATGATATTAACTGAGACGGTTACAGCAAAACAAGATTTCTACCAGAAAACATCCAGCTCATTATTAAAAAGAAGAAATTATTTGATAGTGCCTATGAAATTGCTTCATTCTTAAATGTTTGGGAGTTGCTTCATGCCGATTAGTACAAAGCAACTACTACTTTTTTTGAAGAAAATACTAAGCAACTACTTCAATGCTAGGAAGAGAGATCTGGACATTGTGACCCAAGCCATCATGCATGTGGGACCACTTGGAGGGAGAGAAACTAAAGAGCCTTTCATGTCGTAGAGAGATCCTTCTAACATATTCCAGTAAATATGCCATTTGAAGTATACAAATATTCCGACAACAACAGCAACAACATACCCAGTGAAATCCCACAAGTGGGTCTAGGGAGGGTAGTGTGTACGCATACGTTACCCCTACCTTGTGAAGGTAGAGAGGTTGTTCTCGACAAACCCTCGGCTCAAGGAAAGCATAAACCCAGCATTCATGAGCATGTCGGGAAGGTAGATAATTGGATCACTGCAGAAAGGAACTCATCTTTGCAGAGCTCTATGTGGTATAAACTTTGTATACGGGTCGCTAAATTGTTAAATAGTTTAAAAATCAGGCAGCACAGATTCACCAGTTAAAAAATGGCCACGAAGATCCCCTAAAACAGGAAAAGGAGACAAATAGAAAAAACTAAACAAACCATACATCATTGGCTTCTTAAAGAATCCAAGTGTGACTTTTTAGGGAAGGGAACAGTGCGAAGCCAATAGAAAATGAACTTACATATGGAGCACCCTTCTATTAGCACCACAGGGACATCGCAAGAACTCATACTACCTCAGGGCTCAAAATCAGACAACCCACTAATATCAACAAGACTCCAGTTCCTCAGTGGATTTTGGGGGCAACCGAGCTACATCTTGGAGAGATTTTGAATCAAGGGACAACATATGAGCACTCACAGAAACTTCTTTACGGTCATTGAGGTTACTTCTCATGATTTCATTGGAAGTTTCTTGACTTGCCAAAGGAGAGTTCAAGGAGGACAAGTCTGAGGTAGATGTTTTATCACAAATATAGCCATTAGGAACGGGTAGATCTAAACAACCCATAACATTTTCTATCTGATGAGAGTCCTTGGAAGTAGCTTTTAACGAACCAGTGGAATCACATATCAAATCAGATGCATCATTCAAGAAGCCATCAGCTACATCAAGACTTGGTTCTACACGTAAAATAGCACCTTTATCATCCTGGTTGAGTTTGACTTCAGAGAAAGCATCAGCATTGGACCCTGAAACACAATTTTTACTTTACTAATTCCAGCTCTAGAGCAAATATTGAAGCTGATTTGTTAGTTCAATGTAATAAAGCATCATGAGAAGCAAAGAACTTGAAAAGATAGATAGCATAGATAAGCAAGTGTGTGTGTGTGTGTGTGTATAAGATACCTGTTGAAGTAACTTGGCCTTCACTAAACTGATCCTTCAATAGAGGCTTCTGTAACATATCCGTGCCAGGGAACACTATCATACTCATATACTTCATCCCCTGTCTCTTTGATTTTTCAAGGGGTGTAAAACCAAAAACCTTTGTCCATGTCTCAATAAGTTCTGGTATAGCAGGTATAACCAGCTTCTCAACATCAAGAGAACAAAGAGCCTGACAAGAGTTTCAACAAGAAAGACTTCAGATAGGTGCTGAAGAGCAATTACAACACTTTTGACTTCAGATAGGTGCTGAAGAGCAATTACAACACTTCTGATAGCTGCTTCACCATTGTTCCTCTACCTAATGACACTAAATCTGTATTCTGTACTCCCGATTATATTTTTGGCCTTGTTGACTAAAAGGGAAACTTGAAATCTAGTTAGAAAGAGAAGACCAAGGGAGGAAGGAGACAGATAATGTTGGTATCATGTGCATGGTACCTTCACTAAGTTCTGGAGGATCTTACAGAATGACTAAGCTTGATAGGAATGGGTTCAAATGTAGAACTCAGACTCATACACTGGTTAAACAAGCACTGCCAATGTTCAGAAGTTCAAATTCGTAAAATCAATCAGCTTGATAGAAAAAGGTTTTGCTGCAAAGACTCATCGAAAGCTCTTAAACAGTAAAATTAATATACTCCCCCCCCATCACAGAAAATAAAGGTGGGTTCAAAATACAAGGGCCAACATATCAAATTCTCAGAGTATTTGATTTCTTGGGGTGCTATTAGGTTCAAACACGATTAAGGAGGTGAAGGGGTACCCACAATGCTTAGGTGTGTAGGAGAGTTTAGGGACAAGGTTAGTGGTCAAATATGTTTTTTTCCTTAAGATTAATATATCTATGAATCTTGAAATCACAAACAACAAAATTCAAACATAAAATGAAATAAACCCAAATCTCACGTTTTCTAAGAGACTCAGGGACAAAACATCTTAGCTTCCAAAGGTATGAGCCAATACTCGTGAATGTTATACAAGAACAAGGCCCTTCTTAAATTTCTTTTACCTTTCATCTATAGATTATTTTCATTAGTAAAGGACCTTTCATCTATAGATATATTTACCACCAGTAACTCAATCATGTCAGTCTATTGAAAGAATGCTAGAAGATTATACTTGTAGAGTATATAAAACCATCAAAAAATACTTCGAGTAGAGAGAACTAGAATGCAACTTGTCCTTTCTTTTTCTTTTTTATGATAAGGAGAACTAGAATGCAACTTTAAAAACAAGAGCATCAAACTAGCTAATACATTATCATACCGTTTCAATTGCAGTGAGAAGCCGACGGCACATTCCTTGACGACGATACATATATCGTGTTCCAATAAATGGCATCTCAACAACCTGGTTCCCATGAATCCTATTTATAGAGTAGAATCATTTTGAGTTGGTATTATACAATCCTTGAATACAAAAGAGAAGCAAACTCAAATAATACTAGATACCACATCTGCAAATTTTTCTAGCATCAATTAAGCACATAAAGAGATGGCCACATCATCAAATGCCAAATTGGAACACGTCCACAACATTAGGGCCGATAATCAAAAGTTAATCACCCTTATGGATGCAGCAGAGATAAACAGAATCATGATCAGCACGAGTAAGAAACAATCCAACGAAGACTAAGAAACTCAACTAACATTCACCTTATGGATGCAGCAGAGATAAGTTCATCACCCTTCTCCAGAATAACAGTATAGAACCCGTGGTAGTTCATTCGCCTAAAGTTTGACCTGGTATCACAAGAGAAATCAAAGATAAGTTTCTTAATCAACTTATCGAAAAAGATAAGTTTCTTAATCACCAGTGTACACCAAAACTGGAATCATTTAGTGTACGGTAAGAAACTGTAACATTAAAACAAAGACAACTTTTCAGAAGAACTACAGTACAAAAAGATGATCAAAATTTGGAATTCATTGAAAAGGAAAAGTAGCATTTTGAGTGAACGAAGCTAAAAATATTCTCTGGTATTGATGTGTTTGGATGATTTGAGAAAACAAGAAAAATATAGAAGCTTTTAGCTTGAGCAGGAAGACTACTAGTTGTGTTAAAGCCATCTGGACAAGAGGACTCAATAATCTTTTTTTTTCTTTTGATATGGTAAAAGTTTAAGAGGCTTCTGTAATCCAATGATCAGCAAACACTTCATATCTGGAACTAAATAAAAATAACAAACTCTATACGGAATTCTTTAAATGACATTACTCCAACATACAAAGCATGCATAGACAGCAATTATGCCTTCGCTTATAAAAAATCATCAGAACATTATGTTATCACGGCTTCAAAGATTCTCACCCGCAGCTATAAACAACGCTCTGAATTATATTGATTTTACTTCGCTGGTCAACAATGGGCACAAAACACTCATCCATAATGGAGAAAGCAACAGCTAACTTGCAATTGCACTCAATTTCAACTGGATCATCACTCAAATTTATATCCCTTCCAAAATCACGATGTCGAAGAAGTGTCCAACAAAATCCTTCATCCATGTCATGCCTTACACCAAGAAGCATCTGCAGGCCCTCAAAAATCTGTTGAAGAACGTGTGAGATTATTTCACTGCATAGAAACTCATGTGTATGTGTATGAATAAATTGTACAGATATAGTTTACTATTAGGTCGGAGGAAGAAAGTTCTAGATAACATTCCAGCTTATGGCATGGTCTTGGATCAAGTGCGACCTCACCACTAGCTGTGAGATAAACATTATCTTAGTTGTAATGTACTCCACATAATAATTATACACCGGAGAATGGAGATGATATGGCAACTTCTCTCTTCTGTTTTCACCAGATTACATTAATAGCATGCAGACAAATGGAACTGAAAAACTTCTTCATGGCTAATTAATAATAATGTGATCTTGAAGTTGCAGAAACTGCAATGTATTTAAGTGGACAAGTGCAATACCTTCTGGCATCCTTTTCCGCAAAATGTTAGATCTTTAGAATCAAAATCCAGAGCATCGTCACCAGGGAGACAAGGCAAATGGACTGCAAAAGTCAAAGCCAATATGTTCGTATATTTCATCCAATACGTTCTACAAATTTAGGGCAAAAATAACTACAAAAAAGGGATTTGGAAATATACATTTTCCCTCACACAAATGGCATGTCAACAACTCAGAGACCAGCATGTCATCCTGAACATCATTCTCTGAGGATTTTCTGACAAATGTCCCACAGAATTTGCATGAACAATAAACACATCGCCAATCTCCAGAAGGCAACTTCTGCAACACATTCAAAGATAGTAAGACATACTTCTGCTCAACGATTTTAGGAGTTAGACGGGAGAGTTTATGAAAGCACCAGAGTTGCAACGTGTCTAGACTGACTATTGCTTTACCCAGTTGTCAATTAGGTGGTCCAGAAACTTCTGTAACCTCATTCTGACAACCCTCATCCACTACTTAATCATACCGCCTAATTGAGGCAATACTATTTTTTTATTAAGTAATACGACCCAGATTGTGGCTGCGGAACAAAAAGTAAAGCCATATATTGGCTATCAAAGTTACTACTATCTTCTAGAACAAACAAAAGAATATGCAATATATTCCAATGGGCAGACTCAACCTCTCTACCTATCCAAGAGCCAAACAGTGGTCATGACTCATTTCCCACCTTGCTCCATTGGTGACTCAAACCTCCAACCTCATGGAGGAAGGTGTAGGGTCCTTGTCACCAAACTCTCTCTCTGTGACTTCTAACTGCTTACACTTTAACAGAAGTGTACCACAAGTAGCAAAAAGACAGATTTGCAATAACTTCTTGACGCCACAGGCTTTTGGCAGCTGGGATAATAACGCCAAACTCTTAACCAACTTACTGGCTGCCAGATTTGTAGCTACTGTATCTGCCAGAACGGTGAATATTCTACCATAGGAAAGGTAACTTTTTTATCTTTGGTGTGGTGTAAAATGATTCCATTAAATGCCCATTACCAAATGGTTTTGACAAATAAACATACTTTTTGCTTGGGTATGTGTAAGGAATACATGATAAAGAATAATTTTGAAAAGAATAAGATATCATGGACATATGATGTATTATATTATAAAGAACTCGACAAGAGCACGTTTTACCTCCAACCTTGAGGTTGTGGGATCGAGTCACCAGGGGAGCAAGATGGGGGAGTTCCTAGGGAGGGGTAAAAAATTTGAAAAATTAAATAAAAATTCTAAAGCACTCCAAAATAAAGAAATTTACAGGTTCACATAAAGTTTACCAGTCTCAGAAATAATGAAATTTAGACACAAAAAGTTCAAACAATTTGTTTATGGTACTAGTAAACTCCAACTGATTTATTTTCAATTGAAATTTGTCTGATTTTCTTGAATTTTTTAAGCATTCTCAATAGTGCATTTAAACCTTGAAGTGAGGCACAATGTTGATTGGCGCTTCCTCTCTACAACAGAACAAGCCAACCAGATGATTTTCTAAGTTAGGTTAATTAATTAAGCCCGTGGATAACCTATCCGACAAAGTAAAGCTTGCGAGTTTTGTCTTGAGAAGGGTGACACTAAATGATAAATATAGCCAGCAGAATTATATATTGATTGTTACGGAAATTCTATGGATGAAACGTTAGTCAAAATTACAAATTTTAGTTCAAGAAAAGTAGTAAATTAATTTGCATCAAAATGGAAGTGACAATTGAACTTTTTTTTTTAAACAGCATATTATCTTACAATACCTTGGTGAATAACAATGAAGTATAAAGGGCAACCCGTGCACAAAGCATCCTGCGCTCATGCAGGGTCCGAGGAAGGGCCACACCCCAAGGAGTGTATGTAGGCAGTCTACCCTAATGCAAGCAGTAGTGGCTACTTCCACAGCTCGAACGCATAACCTATAGGTTACATGGAGACAACTTTACCGTTGCTCCAAGGCTCCCCTTCGAATAACAATGAAGTATATTATCTTAAAATTCCTTGGTCAATAACAATGTGAATACACCATATCAGCAACACCATTGGCAGTAACTCGTGCATGTGGTACTCAATAAGACTGAACAAAATGCACCTCAAAAGTCATTGTTCTTACTCATACGAGTTTTGCCAACTGTCCCGCTTGGTGAGTCATACAGTTGCTGGTTGATTTTTGCAAAAACTCGCAAGACTCAACTCCAAATGAATAGATTAAACAGAATTCTTAGCCATGTATTCTGTATACAACATACTTCAGGAGGGCATAATATAATCTCCATCATACAAATAAAACGACCAGTCCTACTAGAGCTTTGGTATACTTCCATTAACAAGTTTTACACCATATCCCACCTAAGTAAAAACATGCTAATGTTATGCCAAAATGCAAAGCTCTACATTTTGGGTAAAAATGAGCAGGCAATAGGGAATTTTGCTATGCATATCGATTAGAAGGCGCTAGAAGGTTTTCTGTTTCCTTTTAAACCTAATCGAACCTTGAAGTGGAATGGCACAACCTAGACAAAATCTCAACTAGAAAACCAATTAGTAGAGTGATCCTAACAAATATGACTTAAAACTTAAAATTCTCTAGAAATATTTAAGAAGAAAAAAGGTACTATTCGACTCTTTTCAGACTAACAGACGTAACAAGAGAATTTATCAGATTCTTTCAACATAGATTGAAGTAAACTAAGCCAATGCAAAAGGGAAAAAAGCACGGGAATAAAAAGGTGGAAGAAGACGGGTCTTACTTGAATATCTAAGCAGCTTTGGTGGAAAGTTGAGGGGCAACTATCACAACATATCAAGTCACCCCCATCACCACAAATGTTGCATGTATCATCGTTTGGGTCATCGCCAACAATATTCACAGAATGAAAACCAATACGATCAATTTCATTCTGTTTATTCCATGAGTCCACCAGACATTGCAAAAGAGACTGTCCTGACTGCAGAAACACATTCTGAAATGGCTGACCCAGCTCGCTTCCAGCATGGGATTCAAAATCAGCAAGCTTAAGTGTCTCACCACAACAGCCACAACAAATTCCATCTCCTGTGATCTTTCCTTCTTGCTTCACTTTTTTCCTTCCACCATAAATGTAGTGCACCTGCGCATTAGATTGAATAACCCCTAAATCAATCATCCACGCTAAAAGAGTTCGCTTCCCATCATACAGTATAAACTCATCGCCATCTGAATCGACCCCTCCTCCCTTGGAGCTCCGTGCCAATAGAGCACAGGGCTTTCTACGTTTTCCATCTTCTGTATTTGCTCCCAACTTTTTCCTCCTTACTGCCACACTTAAGCTGTTTCCTGTTTTAGTTCTAACACTTAAGTTGCTTTTGGCAGATTGCTTCTTTTTGGTCATTTTCTTGCTTGTTTTACATTCAACATCCTTTTGCTTCTTCTTTCCCTTGTTCTCTTTTTCTTTCCTACCTCTGAACAGTGTGCTGAATACATCCTCCGGTATAGGAGTAAATGCAGACCTGGTCTTATCATCAGCAGCTCCAGCTTCAACTCTCTCTTTGAGCCTCTTGTATGCCAAAGTGACTGACCAATGTTGTCTTCCTTCCGGATCATACCAGATTGCATCCTTATAATCTTTCGTTAACCTGGGCCTGTACTCAACAGTCCAACCTGACTTCATAAGCATATCGATTATCTGCTCTCTAACTGCCTGCTTTTGTTCCCTAACACCAAATTCCTTCACCTCAGCCTTGCTTCCTTTCGATTTACTCTGCTTATCACGATATGGATCACTGCTGAGACTTTTGTTTCCATCATTTCCAGGACCCTCGTTATTAACTTCAGCATTTGCTTGTTCAGTGCCTTCCTCATAACCAAGAGCCTCCTCGATGCCATTTGTCTGATTCACCTTGAGATGCTTTGAGCCCTTAACAAGACCATCGGCCTTTTCATCGTTCATGCTTCTCTTGGGACCCCTCAATTTGTCTTTTTGGCTACTGGTCAGACTGGTCCCTTGCATCTTTGGAGGTCTTCCACGGCGGCCCTTCGGCTTTTGCTTTCCCCTTTCTATCAGTCTTGCGTTACCATTATTCCTTGCCTTGAGTATTTTCTTGTCGGACGGATCAATGTTGTTCTCTGTTTTTGAACTGGACACACCTGCATCCTTTACTCCAAAAACATGCTTCTTACCATCAATAACTGCCACTGTACCTGACCTCAAGACCCTTTTAAACTGACCCATAGATAGCACTGTGTTCACCTTCTGTCTTTTAACTTGATCATCAGCAGGACGCTCAGCATCCTCTGCATCCTTTCTTTTCCTCCCTCTACCTCTCTTGCGTACCTTATTCTTGGATTCATCACTACTGGCATCAACTTGTTCACCGGCAGTGACATAGTTATCGTGACATTCAGAAGCCTCAGCTTCAGTTCTTTTCCTTCTTCTGCCTCTCTTGCCAGGCTTCTTCTCGCTTTTATCATTGGTTTTATCAACTTGCACTTGGCTAATGTCATCAATGCTATTCTCCGAAATCTTTGTTATTTCTCCACTTTCAACACCCACCAAAACATGAATTCCCTGCTCAACTTGTCTTCCAGGTGAAGAAACACCTGACTCTCCCTTAAGAGATACCGAGCCATTACAAATCAGTCCTCTTTCAAGGAACTCACCATCATGAGAAACATCATCCTTTCTTGAATCCTTAACCTCCTTCTTTTTCCTCCCCCTCCGCCCTCTGCCCTTACTGGCATCAACCTCGCCATGCGGCTCACCATTACCATCACAAGCTACATTAATTTTAATTACTTCGCCATTTTCAACAGCAGTTCCCTCCTCACATTTTCTTTCTTCCGAAGGCCTCAATGTGCCCGACATCAAAGATAAACCCTTATTTTCAAGCTCCATCTGACAGGAAGTTTTATCCTCTGTTGAATCCTTCACCTTCTTTTTTCTCCCTCGCCGCCTCGCAACAACAATGTCCACTTGATTCTTCTCCGGAAGCTTCACTTGCATCAGGGGGTCTTCCTCCCCGACTTCACCAACAATTCCCTCAGCCATCTCAGAGTCAACAGCAGCAATGACACATTTAGGGACATCACACTCATCATCATTTTCACAAACTTCTGTGATAGACTCATTTAAATCAAGATCTTGCTTAGAAACTGAGTCAGTCAAAGTCAAAGTAGGCTCCATTTGCTCAAACGGATCCCTATTCAAATCCAACTCATGTTTCGTTGTACTACACATGGAACTTCCTTTCAACCCTTCTTCCATCTTGAATTTTCTTTTTTTTTTTTTTTTTTTTTGTTGCTAAGATTAGGTTTTACCTACAAAACCCATGAAATCAATAACTAAAGAAAACTACAATTAAAACTAGAAATTAGAAAAAAGTAATACTAACAAATACCAAATGATTTTAAAATGAAAAAGAAATTATGTCTTACCAAGAAAGTTTAGTATTATGAAAATCTGTGGACCAGTAACATCATACAGGCCAAGTATTACTGTATTTCCATTTTGAGAGTTAAAATCAGCTGAGAATATAGTGTGTGATTAGGGCGATTTGGGTTTTTACTGAGAGGAATCGGGTTAGGGGTTTTAGGAGTTGGAGGGTTGTATTTTACTTTTTCGGACCTCTTTGTTTTTCGTTTCCCAGTTAAGGACGAGGAGGAGGACCAATTGTAATTTTGGAGGGAGACTCATTTATTTTCGATTTATTTTCCATTTTCCCTCCATTGCGTGTTTCCCAAAAATTGAACATCCTTTTGTGATGCCACCGAAAATTGTAATTTAAGGGGTCGTTTGGCTAGGAATAATACTGAATATGGTGTATAAGTAATGTTAAGACTTAAGATTAGTAAAGTTACGATTATTTCCTATTAATTATTTGATTAGTACATTAAAGGTTTTGAAAGAACGGTTCTATTTTTATGCGTATATACTTATTCATGTATGGTTTACATTCAACTTGAGTTGTCATTTATATACATATACATTATTTAATTAAAGTTGAAATTGAAAATGAATATTCGAATTAATTATGTTTCGATATTAATTTACTTCGTGTAAAAAACTAAGGATTTATATAAGCAATAAATATTATTTCACAAAAGAATTTATGTCCAAATTCTTACTAAAAAAATTCAATTAGAACACAAGCGACATACTTAGTAATTGTGTACTGTACTAGTAGTATTTTGTTTAATTTAGATTTTTATGGTGTATTCTTTATTAATCATAGTGAACTGTCTTAATTTGATATGCATGCTTTACTAATGAGAGGGAAATTTTTTTAACGTTTTCAATAGTTGTTTTCTAATTTATAAATAGGCAAAAGGAAACGTGGGGCACAAATTGTTGACTTCGTGGTGTTATTATAAAATATACTTAGAAGATAGTTCGAAGTCTAATTTCTCAAAGTTTTCTGATAGTGAAAGTTATCCTATATTCATATGTATTATGTAAGGTTTTTCTTTTTCTTTGATAAAGTTATATTATATTCATACGTTAGTTTTCTTACATCTTCTTTGCCACAAAAAAAGAAACTAGTTCATGTTTCTCCTTACTTTGTACTAAGCTAGCATTTGGACATAGATTTGATTGAAATTTGAACAAATAATTTTTGAAGTAGTTTTGAAAAATAATTTTTGAAAGTTGAAATTATGTTTGGACATGCATTTTATTTGAAAAAAAATTGAAGTTTTGTGAGTGGGAGAACAAGTTTCACCCAAAAACTACCCTAAACTAGACTTTTGGAACTTGAAAAATAATTTCAGAAATTTTTCAAAAATAAATCATTAATCTATGAACAAACAATATTTTCAAAAAAAATTTGAAAAAAAGTTGTCAAAATCTATAGCCAAACGGAAGGAGCTAAGTATATTTTGATACATTTCCTCAAAATCAGCTCTCGCACTTTCAGATGTTTTCCTTCTGAGCATTGTTTTCAAGTTCAACATGTGACTATTACATCACATCTGGAAAATATGTGTTTTTTCAATGTCTATTTTGACTATTCCTCGTAAAAAGACAAAAATGTTGCTCTAAATTTGGCAATTTTTATTTAGTTTCCCCTTAGATTTCTCGTGGTCTTTAATTCCTTGCTGAATATGAAAATTTGATAGACTTGACCACTCTAGATGCTGATGTGGCAAAGAGCGTGAATACACTCTCTTTTAGGCGCGTGGGAGGGAAGAAAAATCGAAAAAATCAGCTTCCAAGTGGGGTATTTTCAAATATTAATCAAAATCAAATGTAATGATTTATTTGTTCCAATTGTATTTCTCATTATTTCTTATACATCGCATATTTTATCCCGGTTGTATTATTTTAGATAAAATGAATACATGTTTTAATTATGTATTTCTTATCTCTTTTCTTCGATAAAAATCTATAAAAAGTTAGTTGAAATTCCATTTATTTTAGGAAAACAAAAAGAAGATTTAGCCAAAGTAATGAAGTTCAAATGGTGTATTTTTTTACAAAAAGAATGCAACTATTTATTTAAACTATGTATTTTTCTTTTCCAAGTCAAATTCGCAAATATTTGATCAGAAATTCACTATTTTAAGCTAAAATATTTACTTAGCCAATATATGGAGTTCCAACAACGTATTTTTCCTTTAGATGCAATGATAATACATTATAATTGTATATTCCTTCTTTTTTCTAACCAAATATGTGGAAAAAAATTAAATATCAGTTATCTTTAGCCAAAAAAAAATTATAGTAAAAATAACACTGTTTCAAGTTTTTTTAAGACATATTTTGGCACAGAAAAATGATTGAAATAGTTGGTGGACTGAAAAAGATAAAAAATATATCTTTTATTGTAAAAAAAAAAAAATGACACATAGGCGAAAAAATCCATGTGGCAGCGTGTGTGTCACACCCTCGTGAATTGTAAGCGTCTAGGGAGGTTGAGGCTATGAAATTGCCAAGTTCAGAAGGGTATTAAAGACCACGTAAAGTTTAAAGAGGAATTAAATAAAAGTTGTCAAGTCCAGGGAGTCCCATACTATTCTGCCTCGTAAAAAAAGGAGTAAGTGCTTCGTGCTAATTTGCTAGATGATATCCCTAGTTAATGCTACTATTGACGTGTTTTAAGGAATCTTGGTTGGAAACTAGATTCATAGAGCGGACTATAATAGCGTTAAATGTGAAGTTCAGAATGCCAATATATCTAATCAAATAATCAACTGCTATGAATAGAATTATAATCACTTCTATCTTTTAGAGAGTTTTACTTTGTGGCTAAGTCATTTTTCCCCTATAAATAGAGGTATCTCACCCCATTGTAAATCATCCCAAAATTCAATAAGAATTTCCTCTCTCTTTCTTTGCAATATTGTTCTTTTTCTTTTATTGGTTTATTACACGTTATCAGCACGAGACTCTACCGTCTCAAGAAGCTCTTCAAGAAGACTAAGGTATAACTTTTCTCCTCTTTTAATTATGGCTGATATTATGAGAAGAAAGTTCGTTGCCCTTGAAATTTCGGGCAAGAACTATATGACATGGGTGTTGGATGCTGAAATCCATTTAGATGCAATGGGTCTTGGAGACACCATTAAAGAAAAAATTTACCTCGAAAAATGTGAGCAACAATTAAAGATAATTTGTGATTTTAAAGATACGTAATATATTCTAATACTAGTGATTATACAAGTAATATTAAGCTTAAGTATGAAGAAATGATGAACCAAATCAATGTCGTTGGAGCAATGGGGGCCTCGAGCTTGGTTATCCCAGGGACTTCGAGGTCAGCTAAGAGCAATAAAGTACGAACAATAAAGTAAAGACAATAAAGCTAAAGAATAACTATTGAGCACGTCAAACAAAGAAAGCAGAGTAGAATGTTCTATTGCAGTGAATAACGTGAGATGATGCTTATAAAATGATTGGGATACCCCTTATATAGGAGGAGAAAACTCCAATATAGTACATTCCTAATTGTAGTAAAGAATTCTATTGGTACAGGCGTATAACAACCTAGTACGGACCTGTACCATTTCGTACAAATCTTATCCTCTAATTTATGCCCTGGTCCACGTGTCCTTGAGAAATTTCCGCTCTTTCTCGATTGACTTCGAGATTGTGTTGCCCTCGATGTAGGTCGTGCCAGGCCTTCGATCAGCTTCCTCGAGGTACGTGTCCCTCAGCTGTGTCCGACCTCCATTTCAAGTTGCCCGGACTCGGACTCATAGCCCAATTTAAGACCTCAAAATCGGGCTCCCTGATTTTGACCGTATACAGATAGTCCCCGCGTTTCTTAGAATAAAATGATATGAAACGATTTGTATTCCCGAAGTTCTTAGATGACATCATGTCCGTGACGTAGGCATTTGATGTGATCGGAAATGTCATGTTAGTGTGCTTCCCCAAAACGTCCAATACGTCTCAGCCTTTGTCGGCCATTGCGCCGCCGGTCCAATCGTCAGCTTTTTATAAATGAGAAGTTGCTCGAATGAACACAACTACACTTATTCCTTCTTTATCTATTTTTAGTCCTCTCCCTTCTCTACCTCTTCCTCTTATCGCCCATTTTTATGGTTCAAATCTGCGGCAACAAGGTCACATGGCAGCGACTCTACCAGTTACGCCAAGGTTTCCTTTTTCAAAGCTTCAGTTCGAGACAACGAGCGAAGGGCACCCGATCTTTCCCGTATCTGAAAATGTGCGAACTTTACACTGCTGATCATTTCCTTTTATCTTCAACCTGGTGTGGCGCTTCATTTCCTTTGCTTTCCATGGAATGAGGTGGCACTATCATCTACTAAATTTTGCATCCCACACTGGAACAGAGTTCCGGGGGTGACCACTCTTGGACTGTTGCTTGTGCATCTTGCACCCCCTTTTGGCCTCTTCCTTTTGCATGTTCTTTCTTAATGTATTATGGCCCAAAACTTCATCGGAATGCTCGATCTCGGTTGCTGGAGATACAATTACCTTTATCGAGGGCCTCCTGCCCCATATATACGTTCCCAGAGATCTGGAATGATGCCTTCGAGGAAAGACGATGCTCCTGAGGACGTAGTCTTTAAAGTGGATTAGGTTCTTTGAATTTTGTTTTTTGTTTCTTTGTTCCTGTGTAAACATCCTTCGTGGGTGTCGTAGCTGTAATTTGTAAATATTTTTTGGAAGTAAAAAAGGATCCCTTTGTATCCCTTCTGGCTCGTGCTGAATTTTACTCTATCTTTATCCGTAAAAGACTTTGATGAGATGGTTTCAAAAGCTAGCCCAAATATCGAGCTCAAAACATAATAAACCCTTAAGTTTTTAATATAGTACCCCTCGAGGTTTTCGTTAATCTTCGAGTTGAGCTTAAATGCGAACCCCGAACATCATGATCCCCGAGCTCGAGTTGGGTGAGAGCAAGATTTAGAAATGAAGTTAATCCGTAGATCCTTTCGTAGTCCCCGAGTGAGAATTTGCTCGAATTCGGATATCCCTTGGGCTTAGTAGTCGAGCGAGTATTTGATCGAACTCGAAATAAAGTTAGCCCTTAGGCTTTATCAATAGTCCCCGAGTGAGAACTTGCTCGAACTCGGGTAGCCCTTGGGCTTAATAGTCGAGTGAGTGTTGGCTCAAACTCGAAATAAAGTTAGCCCTTAGGCTTTATAGATAGTCCCCGAATGAGAATTTGCTCGACCTCGGGTAGCCCTTGGGCTCAATAGTCGAGTGA